TTTTTAAAGATTTTTCTTATATATTTCAATGTAAAACTTGGATTCCCTATTGTGGCCCCGCCCTACCCCCGAGGGTCATGATTTGAACAATGGATGCTTCCACTTAAGTTTCAGTTTTTCTGGCCCAGTTGTTCTTGAGAAGAAGATTTTTAAAGATTTTTCTTATATATTTCAATGTAAAACTTGGATTCCCTATTGTGTCCCCGCCCTACCCCCGGGGGACATGATTTGAACAATTTAGAATTTACACTCCCCGAGAATGCTTCCACTTAAGTTTCAGCTTTTCTGGCCCAGTGGTTCTTGAGAAGAAGATTTTTTAAGATTTTTCCTATATATTTCAATGTAAAACTTGGATTCCCTATTGTGGCCCCGCCCTACCCCCAGGGGTCATGATTTGAATAATTTAAAATCTACACTACCCCAGGATGCTTACATATAAGTTTCAGTATTTCTGGCCCAGTGGTTCTTGAGAAGAAGATTTTTAAAGATTTTTTCCTATATACTTCAATGTTAAACTTGGATTCCCTATTGTGGCCCCGCCCTACCCCCGGTTGTCATGATTTGAACAATTTAGAATCTACACTACCCCAGAATGTTTCCATATAAGTTTCAGCTTTTCTGGCCCAGTGGTTCCTGAGAAGAAGATTTTTAATGACCCCACCTTATTTTTGTCTTTTCTTGATTATCTCCCCTTGTAAGGGGACTTGGCCCTTTATTTTAATAATTTACACTTCCCTTCACCCAAGGATACTTTGTACCAAGTTTGGTTAAAATTGGCCCAGTGGTTCTTGAGAAGAAGTTGAAAATGTGAAAAGTTTACGGACGGACGGACAACGGGTGATCAGAAAAGCTCACTTGAGCTTTCAGCTCAGGTTAGCTAAAAAAAAATTGGGGTCAGTGATGTAAATTTTGAGATATTGGTCAAAATGTGCGATTTTCAGGCAAAAAACGGTGTAAATTTTATCTTGACTTCTTTAATACATCTTCATTTCTTGGCAAAGTCTGTTGAGTGAATGTGTAAAATTTGTTCTAAAATAACAAATTGAGACCTATACTTAATATTCCTAGCATGTCATAATGGAAAATATTCTCTAAATAAAAATATGTGGGACTAAAGTTACAAGATATTTAATCAAACAAATGTGTAAAGAACTGCGAACGATAGCATTGTTCTCCCGCCTACCTTCAAGTCAATTTTCAAAAGTTAGCACATTTGAATGATTTTTAATATTTATGTAGATATTTATAGGGATTTTCATAAAACATTACTTCTTTGGGAAAACAAAGAGAGATAACTCTATAATTTGGGTAAAACTTGTGTTTTTCACTATAGAAATCAACGGAAATGGAAAATATTTTTAAAACATCTTTCCCCCGTGAAACAAAAATTCCTTTTTACGGGTTATATGGACTGTCATTTCACAAATTCATGCCAAAGCTTTTTGTGTTTCACGGGGGGGGGGGGGGGGATATATGTTTACAGACAAAAAACTACAAAAATGCTTATATTTCACCAATTTCAAAGGATTTTACAACTAAAACATTGTATTTTATTAATAACATATGTTTAATTTTATATGCGTAAAACATAAGAAAAGATTTAAGGAATATTTATTCATATCCAAGGATATTTTAAAATGTGTTGATGCTTTAAAGCCCGATTTCAATGGAAAATATCGTCTACCCCCCTTATTTTAAGAGCTTGAATTAGGGGTAATTAACCATTTAACACTTGCATTAAAATTATCAGGCAATTACCATTGAACTATTCTTTGCATTCAACAAAGATTTTACGGTCGAATTGCCATTAGTATTGAATTAAATGGGTGTAAAATGTAGGCGGGAATCGAGAGTTAGCGTGCGTAGTTCTTTGAAGAATTTTCTTCTAAATATCCTTCCACCACAAGAAATAGTCCCTCATAAATCTTGCTTCTTTATGAATTTGTGAGCAGTTTTTTAATTGAATCTTGAATAATTTGCATTGTTTAATTTAAATATGTTATAAAAATTGAATTGTAATAGATAGTTTTTGTGATAAAGGTTCTGACTGAACTTTTCTAAAAAGCTGACGAGTGACATACCTTAAAACAGAGAAATGTATCAAATAAATGACGTCATATTTCCGGAATGGTCCTCCTTCGTTCAATATTCTTTCATATGATTTATCATAGTCGTATACTCAACTTATATTTCACGGCCGCAACTGACTAAGTCGATAAAAAATAGGTAACAACTGTTCCTTCGCCAAGCGCTCGGCACTTTGAAGTGAAAGTTGCGGGTCCTTCGGATGAAACCTTAAAAACCGAGGCCCAGAGTCACGGTAGGCGTAGGCCGATAAAGAATCCTCACTGATCAATGGCCCTGAGTGCCGAGTAAAGGTCTTAATTTGAAGCCCTTCACCGGTATATGGTGACATCTCTACATGAGTAAAAAATTCTCGCACTGGACGTAAAACAACATACAATCAATCAACTCATATTTAGGTCAGTTTCAAATCTTAATGAAAACTAATATTAAATTTTTAGGGCACAATAAAACCAAAAACCGTACCATCTTTGTAATGTTTCAAATGACTTTGAGCTTGGTACTGTGTGTTATCCTTATATTTCATTTCTCTTCCCTTGCCCCAACCTGACTAATACTTTATGCCCTTGGGTAACTGTGTCCAGTAATGCTGAGCCTGCTTTCAAGCTCTTAAGTAAAGTCGCAGAAAATGTCTTGATTATGTAACTTTTGCCCTTCGACAACAGGTTTGGCTCATACTTTTTCAAAAGACTGCCAATGAATGTACAGTATTTGATCCACTACAAGGAAACTGTTCTGTATAATCATCATGTAGGGGTGATAATTTCACCTACATAATTCTCAATGTCAGTACCTTAGAGGGGAGGGGAAAAGTTATTCTATTTGTAGTTGAAACAACTAACACATGAAGCAACTTTATGTCTTTTTAGTTCAATGACAACTCTCTACTGCAATGTTTTTCTTAACCTTACAGAAAAATTCTTTTTTTTCATCAGCTTCAAACCCAAAGGAGAGTTTAGCATTTGCAAATTCAAAACTTGAAAATTTCTATGATGATCCAGCATCCGAAGCAAGTCTGGTAGTATGCATCCTTAGACGTATCATCTATGCAAGTTTGGTCAACATAGGACCTATACTTACTTGGGAATAGGACCTGCTTCAGGAACTATAACCTGCTCCAAAAACTTTAAACTGCTCCAATAACTTAAACCCGCTCAAAAAACCTTAACCTGGTCATTTTTGGCTGAAATCTGAAACATACTAGATGCATCTTTCATGCATATAAGATGCAAAGAGAGGGCAAAGAAATTTGCTCCAAAAACTGGGAGATAAAATTCGAGAGTATTACATAAAGCCCCCATCATATAAAACTCGTTTCCCGAAAGACCTATCCCGTCCATTAAAATTGTAAAACGGGTTGAATGTGCAAGTTTTCACAAATAATGTCTACAATATGATCTTTCTTTGTTCATAAACAGTCCTTAATACGTCCATCTCGTCTGTACTTCGTCCATTAGTTCAAATCGGGTAAATTTGCCGTTTCCAAACAGTCGAAGCAGTACCGTACTCAGATTAAGCTCGTTCTTAACTAGTCCGATCTCTTTTCCGATACGTCCATACCTGTTCTTATTTTAGTTTTCAACTCTTTCTAATTAGCTTTTAAACCGACCACCACGACCAAAGTTAGTTCACCTTGTTCTTATCTTGTTATTATAGCATTTGAACTCATGCAGTGAGTGTCCAATCCTATCTCGACTCACGGGTTATTAAAACCCAGCGCCTTCTTTGCCATTCCTCATATTAATTAAACCCTTGAAAATGCATACTACTCGATTTCACTGCCCGTGCGAAAAAAATAAAACAGCACGAAGAGCTAAGTAATTCTCTTAGGTTTCAAACAGGTTCTTGGGTTTCTCCAATTAATTTTTGTTAACTACTTGAAACTGCATACTACTAGATTTCAATTCCCGTGCGAAGGAAAAGCAGCAAGAAGGGCCAAGTTATTCTTCTCTTAGGTTTAATTCAACCAGCTCTTTACCCAACAGACTCTTGGTTTTCTCCTTTTTCCTTGCTCTATCATCTCTTGTGCTTCTAACAATACTTGCATAGAACAAATATTTAACATATTAAAAACAACAAATCTATCCACAGTTCTGTAGAAAATATTGAAGTCCCAAAATATGTGCTGGGTGAGTTTCTCGATCCAAATGATGAACAGAAGAAGGAACAGTTTCCTTGTCCGAACTTACATGCACTGCAGATGGATTAAGCAAGGACTACTTGGAGAAGAGACATTCAACACATCTCGTTCGTAACTTGTAGAATATACTCGAAACTAAATAAGGATTTTTAGAACCATTTAGAAGCGTGTTGCTAACTCAATCAAAATTGAATTGCAGCTTGGTTTAGAACTTACCTAGGACAAATTGCGGTCGAGTTTTGTCTATTGTCAACTGGAGCAAACGGACACGGTCGATCTACTGCTATAAACTGACCCGGGCATACTGACCGTGTCACAATCTAACACGTCCCTGGTAAGATCGATGTACAGCATTTCCGTTCGTATTACGATAACCCCGTTCTTAATACGCCCATATGGTTTATATTTGATATTATACATTGTCACCCCGACCAAAATTAGGACAAAGGAAATTTTGAACAGACCCAAATTTCTGGCCATCCGTCTCGTCCAAGCCAGTGCGAGCACATCCGTGAAGTTATTAAACAGATAGTCCACATTTGATACTACGTTCCCACCGTTTGGCACGAATTTAGTAGAACGCAGTTAGAACTAGTATTGTGTGATGAGACCTTTAGCTTCTCCAACTTTGTTGAGCTGAGCTAAAAATAAGAGATCGCTACCGTATAGGTCATTTAAAAAGTGACCATAGCTCTCCAATCAACTTGCTATCATTACTTTTTTGTTGAGTCCTGAAATGTAGAGAAATTCTTCTTACTTTTGTGAATTCGTTTACCTGTATATGGTTCGGTGTCTTCCCACGCGTAGACAATCACCAAACTCCAAGTCTTTATGGGCGATGGAAAAATCCTCCAGGCGATCATGCTTCTCAGATCTACACGAAACCAAAATAAATATATGTTCCTTTATTCTTCTATTCAAGGAAGATGGACGTTAGCATTCACAAGTCTTGAAGCTCCAATTGTTATTCAAACCGCAAATTAGCAAAGTACACTGATTTATCAAAAATGCTATATCGAGTTGAGAAAGTTTACTGGGAAACGGATGGGGTCTTTTTTGAAGTACAGATTACACTGATAAAACATTTTCAAAAATAAAAATGCCATTGCTAAAAGTCTTGATCACTTATAAAGTATGAATCCTTTATTCCGATAGAACAAAGAAGAAACCTTCAAATTACGATCTAACGTTTTTACGTACATTATAAGATGAAATAATTAAATAGGTAGAACTCATTCATTTTTACAGGAAGCGTTATGAAAAAAAAATAGTATAGATTGTTATACCTTTAAAAAATTTTTCTTGTATAATTCTATACTTAAAAGAGTCACATTTCCAGTGTTCTACGGAGCAGTCCAAAAACTCGATGTTAGACCGCAAAGTGATATATTGGACCGCGTATGTCACATTGTGGGCGGGATCAGCTATTAATATCTTATTTGCATTCGTTCAAGTTCGACAGAGCTTTACACTGAAAGAAATGCCTAGTAGAAGTAACCACTTTGCCTAGTAATCTTCTTAGCGCGCCTAGTAATCGAAACAATATACTGTCCAACTTGTAAAAGTTACTAGATAAGCAAGCATCCAGGCTGCGCTTAGGGATCATATTACTTCATTAAATATTTTCCGCGCCCTTTCAAACAAAGGATGTGAAGATAAGACCATCCCAAGACGCCATGTTTACTTCAGAAGGCAGGTTGGAACACTGCTAAGGACGAGGAATCAGTTAAATAATTTGGTGAGTAATATTTTAACCATCAGCATTGCCTATCTAAGCTTTACAAATTTATTTTTTAGTTTTTGTTTTGCTGTCTTGAAGACCCTTTGTTATTTTTTCCTGCCACTGGTTTGAAAATGTTTGCATGCATCTAGTATACCATATGAAGAATTGATATATTATACATTTTTCTCATAATAGTACATATTAATCAGAAAAGTGATAGGCAATATAGTTCCGATTTAGTGCACAGTTGTCAATATGTGTAATTAATGAAAGAGGGAATTATTTACAAAATCATTGTGAACTGCAACAGTCAGTAAGCAATCTTGGAATATACATTTGAAGGGTGAGTGATACATATTTGTGTAAATCTTGGAACCTTCAAGTGCATAGTGAGTGAGCTACTGATTTGATATGATTATAATTTCATTATTATTTTAGGCTACACTTGTACACTTTAATTATATAACATTAAGCAATGAACATGTCTTTTTTTAAAATCGTAATCTATGTTGACTTATATTTATGAGGTAAACATTCATATCTGAATGGTTTGCGATCTTGGTATATGCATTTGAGGGAATGAGTGAAAGAAACACATTGTGTTTGTGAATCTTGGAGTCCCTAAATGGTAGTGAGTGAGCAACTGTTTCAGATATCAATAATCATAAATTTGACTTTGAACTCATTTAACATGTTTAATTTTTAAAAGTATTTCAAAGTCCAGACTTACAGTTGTTACTACTGCAAGTTTTCTTTAGCTTATATTTCTTATTGTCTTTGATGCAAGGCCCGAAAAAGTTGCATTTATAGTATTTTTTCAATATTAATTTAGATGGTGAAGAATGCCTAGCTTTCTACCAGACTGTCCTTCTTGTTCAAGGAGAGGCCAGAAGGGGGTGCTGAAATTGGACTGTAAATCCTTCTGAGGGAGAAGTTTTTGTTTTCTTTGGGAGAAGATTATTTCAGTGTCCATATTGAAGGAGTAAACGTTACTGGATGTGACATTTCCTTTCAGCCTTATGAAATTTCTACAATGTATGATTTGACCTACATGCGTACCTTGTCCAAAGAAATGGGTAAAAAAAACCTCTGTGCAACATCTTGGTAGAATAGCAGAGTGATATTAATTTAGAGAGAAGGATTTTCGGTGTTCTGTCATTGCTATGTTGACATCAGATTTGTAATCTATCCTGTTTGATTGTTAAAATATTGTAAATTTAAAAAAAAATCATAAAAATATTCATGTACACTGTACTGTACACATGCAGAAATTAATTTTATTATTTCTATTTTCTATGACCTATTATAATTTTCATCTGTTGAAATGGTTTACATATAATTGTAAAAGTGTTTACCGTAGAAGACTTATTATTCATTCAGTTTTTGTCATTGTAAAATAAAACTATAATTTGTGTTAGAGATTTAATCTACTTGTTTTTATTTATTCAATTGTTAAGCTATTTTTAATGCTACTTGTACAACTTGTGAAGTGTTTAGCGTTGTTTAGAGAGTAAACTCTCTCCTAAAAAAATGTATAAATAAAATTAAAATAAAGTATAAATTCCAGAGGGTTTATAACTAGAGACTAACTAAATGTACTTTGAAGAAAGTAAATTTTACTAGTTTTCGCTAGTAAAATATACCTAAATAACTGGTTGATTTTACTTAATCAAATAGTACAAATACTTATCGTCTAGTAAAATTTACTTAACTGAATAGTGGTTATATGGACAGTAAAATTTACTAGTTATTCTAGTAACTTTTACTAACTTTTTCTTTCAGTGTACGGAATTGATAGAGTTTAAACCACAATGTGGGAAAACGTTTATGTCATGGAAGCAAGCACAAGATATGTCAAAAGAGAGTAAAAGTATAACAAAACATGTATTGACTGTGTTCTTGGGCAAATACGTTTTGTCGACCCCAAACTGTTTGCCTTTGGTCTCAGGCAAATAGTTTAGTTCTCATGTTTGCATGTTGCCCTCTAAGTCAATAAATGTATAATGATTAACTAAAACAGTAACGTACATGTAGGATAGTCGGCTGTTACCCTCCCTTGATATGGGTTTTTATTGGGAAAGAAATTTTGATTAATATAAAATGCACTAATATGGAACTTCAGTTAATCTGGTATGTACGGAAGCCGGTAGGTGCAAGGTAGAAAAATAATTTATCTGGCGGTCGTCGCCACATAAATAACTGGCGACCGCCAAACAATTTTCTGGCGGCCGCCAAATAACTTATCTGGCGTCCGCCAGAAAATTATTTGGCGGCCGCCAGTTAACCTTCTGGCAGCCGCCAGAAAATTATATGACGACCGCCAGAAACTTATCTGGCAGCCGCCAGATAAGATATTTTTTCTACCTGGCACCAACCGGCTTCCGTAGGTATGCATTCATGCACGTCTGTACTTGGAAAAATCAGGTCACACTGACAAATGTTTTACAAATCGATTCTCATTTGAAAAATGTACACAAACAATTGCCCGGAAAATAAATTATTAACAAATGTTCAATAACAGATCACTAAAGTATGTAAAGGTAATTTAAACTAGGTTTATAAGGGATATTGCAAATTTTATCTGAGTTATAAAGAAAATTAAAGGTTAATACAAATGTAGATTTAGTTAGTTGAACATTAAATGTTATACAATTTGAAAACGTTCAATTTAATATTTCCTCTTCTGTTCACAAAGTAAGCTTAAAGGAAGAGCTATAAGAAGTCTTTACGTATGAACTCCCATTATATACGTTCTATCGCGGTTATTGAGTTACGTCCCATGTACATTTTTTCGAGATTGGAGATAATGATGTGCTACTTAAAATGAAAATCGTGCGGGGGGGGGGGGGAATAATTGGCAGATTAAATGAATTATTTATAGAATTTTACAGAACTGTTCATTATTTTGGTTAAAGAAATTAAATCATTGATAAATAGATCTAATTTTAATCCGAAATGACTTTCAGGTATTTATGTTTTTGTCAATACTGTCATTCAGCAAACCTCAGAGGGCAGTACTGTACTCAAGAAGTATACATGTATCATCGACTTCAACAACAGCAATAATTGCTCATCACTTTCCAGTATATGATTGCACTAACCACAAATATTTCCTTATGTATTTGATTACAAATTAATGAATATTAAATGTCCATAGCACCTCTTCACGTCAATAATATTATGATCGACTCTTTCATCCACTATTTATAGTTTGAAATTGACTTCAAACACCTACATCAAAACGGATATTGAAAAATGAACATTAACAGTTTTTTTTTTTCGATTTAAAACTTTATTGATGTAGGAAAGTATTCATATTGATCTTTAAACTTGTATGACAACGGACAATTGAACAATTCATTAAATGGATGCTCCTTTTTTCAATCATTTATTCAGATGACAAACGTTTATCCACGTCATATTATCACAGAAGAATGAAAAAAAAGTGAATATAGCGAACAGTGTTCGATCTGGGGAAAAAAATCTACAACCAATGCAAGTCTATAAAAAGGGCATTAAACACGGATCTCCAGAAATTCCAGAGGTGGACTCAGGTGCTTAGGAGTAAGCACCCTATGTAGATTGTCTTATTCTTTAACAGGTAGACGGAATATTCCGTGGTCAAATTTAGTATAAAACTAAAGCCTAACAATTGGTTTGAAATATGTCAGTCTAAATACGACTCAATGATATGTCGTATTTGCTAACAAGGTCAATATTTTGATCACAGTATTTACAAAAGACTGTCTTTAAACGAGATTGTTGAAATCCCTGTAACATCAACTTTTCTGTCAGTAACCCACCTCTTTTTGAAAATTGATCGTACTCGGAATTTCCTCTTGAATAACGATTAAGTTGGGAGATACAAACACCATATGCAGATGATAGCGGAATTTTACTAAATTAATAAGGAAAGTTGACGATGGAAAATCTGAAGTCATCTCGTTTGTCATACAATTGAGTTGTTAATTGGTTCTTATCGTATATTGTCTGGCAAACATCCAAATATGAATCTGAAATGACAGACTTTGCCTTTTATGTCGAGATCGCTGAAAATATGAATATGAAAGGAAGTAAATACTCGGTATTGTTAATTGAGAAAACGTCGTCGATATATCTGAATGTCGAGTTGAAGGCCAAAGCAGTGTTTA